AACTAAGAATTTGGACCCTCTTTTACTCTAGTTGTTTAGTATCCTTTGTGTAGAACGAAAGTTGTTTTTGCTTAGAGTTTGATTCGTGCTCATTATACATCTACACGAATTAGAATCTTTCTTAGTCAGTCAGACAAGTTGAAGAGAAGAGAAGATCAAGAGAAGGTCGAGAGATCCGCAAAGACCGAAACCTAAAACGTTCTATCTCTTGTGTAATTGACAAATGATAAAGAAAGATCATTTGAATTGTGAAGATAAAGAATGATAAGGACAATCTTTTGTTACCAGAACTCGAGACTACGAGTCAAAGTCTGACTCGATTGGACAAGTCTTATTTGTTTTTCAGAAGCATAAATGTCCAAGTCTCAAAGTTGGGAAAATCATCCTAGAAAAAATGGTGTCCTAGGAATGAGATTTCAAATTTCAAGGAGCATTTAATGATTGGTACGTTTTGTCTGCACTACAGGACAAAAAGGTTGGTTACTTTTTGAAGCCAACGGCTATACAGTACAACCGCAATTAAGTCTCCTTACCCAGCGGACAATACACACTGGTTAATAGGTTTTGAATTCTCATCTTCCTTCAATGGATGGATTTCTCACACCTATAAATACCCCTCTTCATCACTTGAAGAATGTGCTGATTTTTATCACTCTATAGCTATCAAAAAGATTTTTAACTCTCTCAAGCTACAAGCTATTTTCAAAACCAGTGTGTGTTTGTGAAGACTCTTTTAAAGATCGATCATATAGCTTTCAAAGTCTTCACAACATCAAGAAATCTTGCACAGTTTATACGAAGACCAAGAATTGTCAAGACAAGATTTCAAGTTGGAGATACCATCAACCTTTTCCAACACTGAACTCTGTAGAAGTTGATAAAGGCAGAGTAAACTCGGAGGAGTTGAAAAACCTAGCAAGTTGTTATTCGGCTTAGTGATCAAGGAAGCAAGCTTGGCTTAGTTTGTACTAGGAGTGATAGTGCAAACCCTTTCACGAGTTGTGAAAGAAGAGTGGAGTAGGCTTCGTTAATAGCCGAACCACTATAAAAATCTCTCTCTTGCTCTCGTCATTTATCTTTACTTAACTGCATTGCATTGCATCTATATCAACCCTAAGAAAACACTTTCAATATTAACGTGTGCAAAGAAACTTTAAAAAGGATAAACTATTTTCCGCTGTGCACTACACTTTCGAGTTAAGTTTTATTTTCGCGTAGAGTCTATCCACCCCCCCCCCTCCTCTAGACTCTCGCCTTTGGTATCGGGACCAACACTTGTTTCCAAGCTTTGTTTAGTTTGTTATAAAACTCTTATTTCAAAATTCAAGCTCACCTAGAGCTATTTTGAAAAGTTTGAAAAACGATAGAAAGGAGGTGTTTGGCAAATAGTTGTTAGCGAATTGGGTTAGTGGGTTTGACTGCTTATAATATTAGCTAGTTGTTAAAAGATACTTGGTAAATTAGTTGTTAGTTGATTACATGCAAAATGACCTTTTAAGGGTATAATTTGTTTTCTCAAAAATAATAATAAAAACTTTCAAACCACCACCACCAACTACAAGCTACTTCGTTATGATAATAAAATATAAAAAAAATTGTTAAGTAAAAACAATAAAATGATTATCAATAAACAAAACAATACTATTAATTGAAAATAAGAATGTAGGCAACGCCGGGATTGCAATCTAGTTTATAGCTAGAATAGCCATGCATGCTAGCTCATTGTTATATTATTTCATATAATAAAACATTTAAAATTAATTTTTGAATATAATAGATGATGAAGTAATGCACAGCTCAGTCATATCTTCAATCCTCTCAAACATCTCAAATAATGCACCAAACTTGCAGCTTGCAGCAGTCCAAGTTCAGCTCTTCTCTGCTTTTGCTTTCTTTCTTAGCTTAATAAGTCAGGGGTTTATTAGTCTTTTCTTTTTTCTCTTGGCAGTTATAACGGCTTGTCTATATAGCCTATGATGTGTAAGCTGTAGACAAGTTGATACATTCATCTCTTCTTTCAGCCTGTAAACACATAAACTCTCTTCATCTTCTTCAATGGAATGCATACTGTTTTTCTTCTAGTCCTTGAGGTTTCTCAACATGGTATCAGAGCGTTACCGGAGCTACGCCGCGGCAGTCACGGCGGAGACTGAAACCGGTGATGAAAATGGTGGCGAGCAAGCTACGTCATCCGATCGCATTCCGATGAACTCCAGCCCTGTTCAGCTCGTGGATGAGCTTCACGATCCTATGTACTTGCATGTGACGGAGAATCCTAACCTCGTGCTCGTTTCTCCTCCTTTGTCAGAAGTTAATTACGCAACGTGGAGTAGATCGATGAGAAATTAAGTCCGGAATTTTGGTTATGGATCCCATCCCTGCTATGGAGAAGGTCCTTAACATGGCCCTCAAGATGGAAAGGAAGCTTAGAAACTCTGGCATCATGAAGAATCCCGATTTGATTCAATCTAATTCTGTGCAGAACATAACAGTACAGAATTCAGATGACCAGTCCACTGTGGCTGTTGCAACTTCCTTTAACAAAAAAAAGTTCAGCAATAATTCTGGAAAGAATGTTCCTAGTGTGTGTTCTGTGGGAAATTAGGGCACACGATTGAAAAATGTTACAAGAAGCATGGTTTCCCACCAGGGTGGATTCCAGGTTATAAGTCTAAGGGATAAACAAGCTCAAGAGACTCAGCCTGCTTCTGTGAACCAAGTTGGAGATGTAGGCCTTACTGCCTGAGCAGTTCAAAGGCTTGTGAGTCTGTTGCAGAGCCAAAGCCAAGGGGGTCATTCATCTAATAATGCTTGTGACATTATCTAACACTGGAATCAATTCAGATTCCAGGAAGGTTGCAGAGAAACATAATGAAGGCAAGTTCATCTTTAATCCTCATATCAATACTGTGTTAAATTCTCTTGATGTTTGGATTTTAGATTCTGGTGCAACTGATCATATCACTAGTTCTTTGGACTACTTTGAATCTCATTATGCTGTTCATGGAGTATCAGTAAGGCTGCCCAATGGGGAAACAGTTGATGTTACTCACATTGGGAATATTTAAAACTTCACATGGATATGATGTTGAAAAATGTGTTGTTTATTCCATCTTTTTCCTTAATATTGTTTCTGCTAGCAAGCTGGTAAGAGAATCAGGATATGAAATTATTATAAGGGTTGATTGCTGTGATGTTCAGGGCCATCTTGGGAGGGTGGATGGTTTTGCTAAAGAAAAGGGAGGATTTATATCTGCTCTCCAACCCTCCTATCAGGAAGAAAGGTCCATTCTGTTCAGTCTGCTAATGACTCCAATGTAATGACTTGTAGTAGTCTTTCTGCTGAGATATGGCACAATAGGCTGGGTCATTACCCAATGAATAAGATGCAAATGTTGAAAGGGGTGAAAATCTCACCATGTACTGCCTCTGGATCAGCTTGTGACACATGTTATTTTGCCAAAACATAAGAAAGCTCCTTTTTCTCTTAGCAATATTAAATCTGAGAAATGTTTTGATCTAATCCATATGGATATTTGGGGACCATTTTCTGTGGCTTCTCTTAATGGAGAACATTATTTCTTAACATTGTTGATTGATTATAGCAGATACACTTGGCTACACTTAATGAAACATAAGTCAGAGGTCAGATCCACATTTATAACTTCTATAATTATGTCCTCCACTCACTTTGATGCCAAAATTAAGACTGTCAGAACTGATAATGGGAGTGAGTTTATGATGCAAGCTTTCTATAATGAAAAAGGGATTGTCCATCAAAGGTCATATGTACATACTCCCCAGCAGAATGGGGTAGTGGAAAGGAAGCATCAACATATTTTTGAATATAGCTAGGGCCTTTGAAGTTTCAATCTGGACTTGTTGACAGCTTTTGGGGTCATTGTGTTTGCATGCATCTTATCTAATAAACAGGTTACCCACTGGGGTTCTGGGATGGCCAGTCTCCCTTCCAAATGTTATATAGAAAAGATGTTGATTACAATCACTTGAGATCTTTTGGATGCCTATGCTTTGCAGCTACTATTTCACAAGGGAGGAACAAGATGCAAACAAGAGCCAAGAAATGCATTTTCTTGGGATTTCCTGCTAATATAAAAGGGGTATATGGTGTTTGATATGACTGACAGAGCTGTTTTTATTTCCAGAAATGTGACTTTTCATGAGCATATTTTTCCCTTCAAAGAAGGATACTCAGGGACTGGTTCTAGCAATGCTACACCAGAAAGCCTTGGACCTTCTCTCCCTTTGGTCCCAACATATATTGAAGCAAACTTTGGTACATTGGACCAGGCTGGAAAACATAATGAGAGTGGAATGGTCAGGGATACTTTGTTGAATGACCAATCTGCAGAAGTCCAGCTAGAGAATCAGCAAACACCAGACATTCATGTGGAAGAGAATCAGCAAACACCAGACATTCATGTGGAACTCTCACAGATCAGAGACTATTCCATTAGTCCTAGTCATGCTTATGACACACACTCTTGCTCTGAGAATGATTTCAGAGACACTGACAATCAGACTGATCAACAGCAGCCTAGGAGATCTTTAAGAACAAGAAATGTTCCCTCAAAGTTACAAGACTATATTTGTCAGACTACCACATCCAACATCACCATTGCCAGAACTTCTCCCCATTCTCTAGAGAAGTTCATCTCTTACCAAAACTTATCTCCTGATCATAGAATGTGTGCAGCTGCTATTTCTTCCTCTGAGGAACCACAATCTTATCAAGAAGTAGTGTTGCATTTGGAATGGAGACAAGCCATGGAAGCTGAGATAAATGCTTTAAACCAGAACAAAACTTGGATCTTAACAGAATTGCCAGCTGGTAAAACCCCATTGGTTGTAGATGGGTGTATAAAGTGAAGCATAGAGCAGATGGCTCTATAGAGAGGTATAAGGCCAGGCTGGTTGCAAAGGGTTATACTCAACAATTAGGTGTTGATTACATTGAGACTTTCTCACCTGTGGCTAGGATGACCACAATCAAAACCTTCTTGGCTGTGGCTGCTATTAAGGGATGGAACATTCAGCAACTTGACATCAACAATGCTTTTTTACATGGTGACTTAGAGGAGGAAGTCTACATGGTATTACCCCCTGGTTTTAAGAATGGGAAGCCAAATCAGGTTTGCAAGCTCATGAGATCCCTGTATGGCCTTAAACAGGCAAGTAGGCAATGGAATGCCAAGTTGACTAAAGCTTTACAAGTGTATGGCTTCCAACAATCTTCTGCAGATCCCTCTTTGTTTACTAGACAAACAGGAACATCTTTCATTGCCTTGTTGGTGTATGTTGATGATATCCTTTTGGCAGGAAATAATTCTGTTCAAATGAATGATTTGAAGCAGTCACTGGATAGAGATTTCAAGATCAAAGACTTGGGCAACTTGAATTATTTCTTAGGCATTGAAGCCGTTAGAACTGATGCTGGAATTAACATTTGCCAAAGGAAATATGCTTTGGAGATCCTAAAAGAACATGGTTTTTTGGAAGCCATGCCAGCTAAGACTCCTGCTGTCACAGGACAGAAACTGAACAACACTGATGGGATTCCCATCACACAACCTGAAGTTTTCAGAAGGTTAGTTGGGAAACTCTTGTACCTAACCAATACTAGACCTGACATCTCTTATGCAGTCCAGCAGCTAAGTCAATTTGTGGAGAAGCCAAGAGACACTCATATGGTAGCAGCTCATAGGGTGTTAAGGTACCTAAAAGGAGCACCTGGAAAAGGCTTGTTCTACCCTTCTAATTCTCTTATGAAATTGCAAGGATTTTCAGACTCAGACTGGGCAACTTGTGTGGATAGTAGGAAATCTGTGACAGGATATTGTATTTTTCTTGGCAATTCTTTGATTTCATGGAAAACCAAGAAGCAAGCTACAATCTCTAGATCATCTTCTGAGGCAGAGTACAGAGCCCTAGCATCCACAACTTGTGAGGTACAGTGGTTGTTATTTCTGTTAGCAGATTTGAAGGCAACATTCTCTACTCCAGTAACTTTGTATTGTGATAACAACTCTGCCATTGCTATTGGTGAGAATTTTGTCTTCCATGAACGCACTAAACACATTGAGATTGATTGTCATGTGGTTAGACAAAAGATCAATGAAGGGGTTGTCAAACTTCTTGCTGTTTCTTCCCAGAATCAGACTGCAGATGGCTTCACAAAAGCCTTGCCTAAGCCCTTGTTTGACAAGTTCCATGATAAGCTGGGCCTTCAAGATGTTCATGCTCCAGCTTACGGGTGGGGGGGGGGGGGGGGGTGATGAAGTAATGCACAGCTCAGTCATATCTTCAATCCTCTCAAACATCTCAAATAATGCACCAAACTTGCAGCTTGCAGCAGTCCAAGTTCAGCTCTTCTCTGCTTTTGCTTTCTTTCATAGCTTAATAAGTTAGGGGTTTATTAGTCTTTTCTTTTTTCTCTTGGCAGTTATAACGGCTTGTCTATATAGCCTATGATGTGTAAGCTGTAGACAAGTTGATACATTCATCTCTTCTTTCAGCCTGTAAACACATAAACTCTCTTCATCTTCTTCAATGGAATGCATACTGTTTTTCTTCTAGTCCTTGAGGTTTCTCAACAATAGACACAATTTAGCAATCTTAATGAGCATCTTCCTAATTAATATGTCAAAATTATGACACTTATATCTGATTAGGAAAATGCAGAGTCTAAGATTGAGAGTGTTTGGCTTTGAAGACCAATTAAGTTGTCATTAAAAGGCATCATCTTAGGTGGTTGGTGATGTTGGATTTTGCTTCTTTCTCGATCACAACCTTTCTATTTACTACACATTATTAAGAGGTTAATTATGTTGTCAAAGGAAAACAACTCACTGCTATAATCCAGAAATAAGGAAACCATATGATGAGTTGAGTTGGTATATTCAATAGTTGTATTGTAAAATAAGGTTAAAACAATGAAGAAATAATTTATTTTATTGGGCGAAATATTAAAATATATACAACGGTGAGCAACATCCCAAAAAAGCATACAAATGACATAAGTTATGTGCAGTGCAAGGTATTTGGATCCATCAAATATATATATATATATATATATATATATATATATATATATATATATATATCTCCCTCGATCTATAATAGATTAAGAGATCGAAGGTGTTGTTCATGCCTCGGATCTAGTGTCGGTGGAGTATAATGGCCATGTTGATCCACCACTACGTACACCTGTAACATTTAAGAGAAAGAATTGAAATAAAAATAACATATTATTTAAATGGAATATGATGCGTCATTTCTTGAAAAAATTTACAGTCGTATTAAAGTTGAAGGATTAAACCTGTGTAAGATTCCGCTTCTCTAGGATTTGGTAGTGGCGATGCCAACTCTTATGTACAAATGTTGTAGCAAGAAACAAACCATAAGCAATACCACAAAAAATGAAGACATATATGTTAAGAATGATGAACATTGTAGCAGGAAGGCAATTCCACATCAACATGGCCAGGCAAAAGTTTTGGCAGCCGGCTATACGTTGGTCCAAATTAGCAAGGGAGATGCAAGTTTTTAAGAAACAATAACATCCCAAGCCAATAAGGAAGACCAGTGCTCCTGTTTCATTTACATCATCATCAGACTAATATAAACTGTTGGATAGAAAATTAAAGCTGCTAATTAATAACAACCTTTCAACAAGAGAATTATATTAGTGAGACTTTTACTCTACCATAAAAGAAAGTAGTTTTACATAATTTGATAAAGAAAGTTAGGGATGAAAAATATGCGTACCCATGCTGTAGTAGAAGGAAATAGTGGATTGTGAAGACAAGAAGCTCAAATACTTATCAACAGCCTTGTGAATCACTCCCTCGTAATCCACAATGTACATATACCCACCAAGCACTACAATTAGCTGGGGAGAAATAAGAATTCATAAGAGTAATATATAGGTACATCTAATGAGCTAGCTAGTATAGGATGAAACATGAAAGGTAGGAAAATGTATAAAGAAACATTATATATATTATTATTATTATACTTACTGCTTGAGCAATCAGGAAATGAACAAAAAAATCCTTGACCACAAAGAGCTTGTGCTTTAGTCTTGTGACAATGTCATATTTCACCTCTTTCACTTGTAATTGAAATGCTGCCTTACAAGTGGAGCAGTGGGTAAAAGCAAAACCTTCCTACAATAATACAATTATATATATAATCGTTTAAACTGAATTACAGCGCACAATATGTATGTGTTATGTGTAGGAACAAAAATGATATTGCCCGCTCACTCTGATAGATCTCCAGTGGTCCAAGCATTCTCTATGGACGAACTCTTGGGAGCCTTTACAGCGGCAAGGAGATATGAGTTGGTCGCCTTCTCTGGTGTCACTGTCAAGGCAGATACGGCAAGAAAGCGAAGAAGCTGACTCCAAATCCCGATCACTGCTGTAGATAGAGCGGGAACGGCGGGTGGTGTTGGAGCTGCTGCTGTTGCTTGGGTTTTGCGCCACCTGATTTTCGGCCATTTCTTACAAAGAGGAAAAGGAAAAGAAAATTTTAAGCTGAGGCCTGAGGGTGTATGTTGGTGGATGGATTTCTCTCAATATAATGCAGAAGCTGATCGAGGAGGGTGAGAGTGTTGGTTTTGAAGAGGCTAAGGATCGGAGGCATGCATATATCCTGGTTGGTGACGTCGTTGGTGTTTGTCTCTTTCATTCTCAGGTTAAATTTAGAATGGAGAAATGTGTTTAGACTTGGCTTCCTTAGCTTCATTCATGCGTTAAAGACTTAAAGCAAGCAAGAAAGCAATGGCACCGCTAGCTTTGAGTAGCGGTGGTGGAAGCCGTGGGCGGATGGGTTGTTAAGGAAGAGATCAGATAAGAATTGATCGAAGTTCATATTTTTGTATATCTATTCTAGGAAAAGGTTATGGTGTACGTGATCGGCAAAATAGCCTCTTCAAGTCGGCCATATAGTATTATTAATTCCAAATACAGAATTTATATCCATAAGGTACATAATTTCATAAAAAACAAATTACAGAATTTCGTAAGGTATAAATACACATGTTATATATTTATTTAATTTATTTTTCAAATTTGATTTAGGTTTATAATTTGTGTTGATAGACACAAAATTTCACAACACAAGCCACATAAATTCATAACACAAGACATTATTTATTTATTTGTGCTATATTACAATGTAATAGAGTCAGTAGATTTCATAAAATAGAAATATTCAAGGGAAAAGGGTCAAATACATCCTCCAACTTTAGGTAATAAGACAATTAGGCCCTCGAACTTTTGAAAGGTGCAATTAGACCCATTAACATATGAATTTAGTGCCTCAAGGCCCAAACACCTAATAGTAACTTGTAATAGCAAGTCAATAATACACCGGCAGAGCTCCGACGACTTTCCGGCGAACACATGACCAGCAGGTCGCCGGAACGGCACCCTTAACCACTGTACCGCCCCTCCTCCCTTTGCAAGATCCAGAATTTGCAAACATCGATGGTTGTTAAGTTATGAGTTCGGAGTTGATCTACAGAGGACAAGAGGCGCAGCCGGCGATGGACGGTTATACGCCGAAGCCTCCGAAGCCATGGCTGAATGTGATTCGCCCAATTCGGTATATCCGCGAGCAGCGTCTCGTTTTTCTCATCATCGGCATTGCTGTAGCCACCGTCATCTTCACCTTCCTTCCGTCGTCTAGCCCCGCCCCCTACATCCATGGCGATTCCGTCAGCGGCCACGGCTACAACGCGATCTCCGGCTCTAACTTGCTAGCAGAGACGATGGATCACTTATACCGGCTTCTATACCAGAGCCGCGTTGGACTTAGGTCCTTCGATTCGGGCGGGAAGATTCCTCTAGGTCTGAAACAGAAAGGCTTGAGGATCGTGGTGATAGGTGGCGCCGGATTCGTATGCAGCCATCTCGCTAGAACTCTAAACTTCTGGATCTTGCAGAGCCATGGCTTGTTTCTATTCAATTCTGAACTCTGAACTTCTGGATCTTGCAAAGGGAGGAGGGGCAGTGGTCGTTGAGGGTGGCGTTCCGGTGACTTGCAGGTCATGTTTTCACCGGAAAGTTGTGGGAGTTCCGCCGTTACATTATTAACTTGTTATTGCAGGTCAGTATTAGGGTTTTGGGCCTTAATGCACTAAATTCATATGTTAATGTGTCTAATTGAACTTTTAAAAAGTTCGAGGGCCTAATTGACTTCTTACCTAAAGTTGGAGGGTGTATTTGACCCTTTTCTCAATATTCTATAAAATAATAACACAAAGTAATACTCCCTCTGTCTCATTTTACCTGTCTTACTTTCCTTTTTAGTTTGTCCCAAAATATTGTCATTTTTCCAAAATTGAACATAACTATCACTCTACATTTCCCAATTTACCCTTTTGACTTTTCAAATTTCTAGAGGTAAGTACAATTGTACTTTGTACTTTGTACAAATAATACCTACTTTTGAGGGGGCAAAATTGGAAAGTTAATAACATTTATTATGTTGCATTAAAAATCGTGCAAAAAGCAAATGAGACAATCATTTAGGGACGGAGGGAGTATAATATAGTGGTTTTTGTAGATAGGGGAATACAGTCTATGTCGTTTGTAGTATGAAAAATGTTACATTTACAAACTTCACCACAACAAAAATGATTTCTTGAATTAGAGTAGACTCTAAAAATTTCTAGATATACTTTAAAACCTTGAGGGGAGCCTTAGAGAATGTTAAATTATTGGGAATATTAGATTATTGAGAATATTAGATTTCTGTGTTTGGTTTAAAACTCTGGTATACCGCCACCAACACCACTATTACTACTACCACACCACTACCACCTCCATCAGCACCAACACCACTATTACTACTACCACACCACTACCACCTCCATCAGCACCAACACCACTACTACCAACACTACCACCACCACCACCACCACCATCACCACTACCACCACACTGCCACTATCACCCCATATTATTATTGTTATTATTATTATTATTATTATTATTATTATAACAAATAATATGTTCATTTTCAAGAAAATAAACCAAATAAAGAAATGCAATCTCTGTTTGGTTGAAGATTTTTTTTTTATTATTATGTTATGATGATTATTTTTACTTGAATACCATTAACCTATTTTTATGTATTTTAATAAATTTTAAAATTAAAATAAATAAATAATGTAGTGGTAAAATATAGAAATAAATTATTTAAAATTAATTAACTAATAGATTGAACAATAATTAACTAAGGCAATGAATTAAAATGACAAAATTTGCAATAAGACAAGGGAATGTGATAATACCTAAGAAATGGGAGGGTATCTCACATTCCCATGTAATAAATATGTAATAGCTAAAAACTTTATGTGGAGGTTATGTTACATTTTTGGAAAAAATT